CCCCTTTTTACACGGAACCAGAACATGTCCCCACTATCAAAGGGACATAGATCTGTTGGAATGAGTCCAGATGAGGCCACAAAGATGATCCAGGGGCTGGAGCATCTCTGCTATGAGGACAGGCTGAGGGCACTGGGGTTGTTCAGCCTGAGAAAACTCGGGATGTGGGAACCTTAGAACTGCCTCCAATACCTGAGGGGAACCTCCAGGAAGGCTGGAGAGGGACTCGTCACAAGAGTGTGCAGCAACAGGACAAGGGGAAAGGGTTTTAAACTGAAGGAGAGCAGGTTCAGACTGGATCTTAGGAAGAAGTTCTTCAGGACTAGATTGCCCAAGGAGGTTGTGGATGCCCCTCCCTGGAGGTGTTCAGGGGGAGGCTGGATGAGGCCTTGAGCAACCTGGTCCAGTTTAGAGGTGTCCTTGCCCATGGCAGTGAGGTTGGATGAGATGATCTCTGGGGTCCCTTCCAACCTCAGCCATTCTAGGATTCTATGATTTAAAAGATTACCTTTAAATAGAAGACTCCAATAGCCTTAGTAAATTGTCAAGTATTGCTAAAGACTGAAAAAAATCCATCTAAATAAACCTCTTGCTCTATTTTTCTGCTGTAATTTCAGTCAGAGCTGAAGCAACAATACCTGTGTAAGAAGTTGTTCTTCAGTCAGATTATTGACCCAACGTGTATATCGCTCAGTAGACCCCGGTGGCTCTCTTCTGACTTGGCAGCCGATAATCTAAGGCAAAATGAGACAAGTCACATAGTGTAAACTGCTGGACACCCCCAGTACAAAACCAGTAACCATACACCCACGTCCAAAATATGGCATCTCCAAGAATTAAGATTGTCTAAACAGCCCTTATTAGCCCCTTTCTGGATTCATAATATAATATAATATAATATCTCAGAGTTGCTCTGCTCAAATATTAAATAGTCACAGACATTCAAAGGTTGTCTCTAGGAAGCTAACACTGAGAAGCATCTTTCCAGTAGCTTCCGTACTGGGTATATTTGAAACATTTTGGTTGAAATTTTCAAAGGAAAATCATCCAGACATCCAGAATGCAAAATTTCAACCAAAACAGTTAAAATACGGCAAATGAAAATTGGAACTTGGATAACAGCAGACAATCGTACCAACAGTGCCACAGCTTATAATACTGTATGTTACTTATAATTAATATAAAATAAGGGGGGAAATATTATAATCTGTATTCTGATTTATCTCATTCATGGTGGAACAATGCAGACACCCTATTTTGATTTCAAATCAATATTTTTTTTGATTCACTGAAGTACTATACACCCATTCAAGCAACATTTTCTACTCTAATAGGAATTATAATATCCTGAACACTTATTGGCATAATAAGTAGCTTCCAATATGCATCAAACAGAACATTAGAATGATTTCATAGTACCTGTAACTGCAGAGACACGTATTAATGCAATTTCATACAAACACTGAACTGTTTACAAACCTCTGGTCAGACACAGAGGAAGCTGAGGAGAACCAAGGAGTGTGACCATACAGAACTCTGCTGTTTGCTCCCCCTGATGCTCTGCAGGCTACCCTAAACCTTCAGGGTACTACAGGAGGTAATCATATATGCAGAGCTGGTAACAGTTTATACCAGCTACTGCACTCCGGTGGTACTATAACTGTCCCTTTCTTTAGGATGTGATCAGTCACTGAGAATTAATACCAAAGATTATTAGCATTTCTGAACGCTGATTTCAGATAATCAAGTTCTGCTCAAGAACAGTGTGGAAAACTACTTTGTTTTTTTCTTCCATCCTAAGCATTCATAAGGAATCTAAGCGTATATAATGACCACAGCAAGTTTAAATCTTTCAGGTATCTCTATTTACAGAGCTTTAGACCCCATGCAGATGTAAGTAGTCAGGCTAGAATGCTGCACGTGCAGTTATGAAGACTTTTGATGTGGGAACAAAAATACCACAAGAAGAAGTACTTCTGTTCTGTAAGGATGATATTTATTTAAGAACAGAACTATATTCAGCACTCTTGCTGGTATTCATTAAGTCCTCATTAACCTTCTCTAGCATACCCGAGGATTTAATAACTTGCAAAGACACTTTAGAAAACTGTACATAATGTCAGAATGGAAAAAAATCCAAAGCACTTTTTTCTCACAAGGTATTCTAGAGAGAAACAACATGGAAAGTTAGTTTCTTTATTGGAATAGTCACAGCCTAAACTGAAGAAATACAGAACCACAAAAAGCTTACATGAGGTAAGAGACGAAAAGGAAAATCTCTATTTTTTTTTCCTAAACACCTGGTTTTCAGTTAGCAATTTTCAAGTAGTAAGAGCAGTGATCACTTTCTAAGCAACCTGAAATTCCATTGAGAGGTGAGGACAGAGTTTCATACTTTTATATTAATTTCTGACCAGTCTTATATTCACAAATGCTCTTGAAAGTTTAAGCAATCCAGAAAAAATGTTGAATCCAAGTGCTAAGCTAAAGGACTAATTCCTTAAAGTCCAAAGGAAAATTGGTTCAAATCTCAACTCCTTATTCTGTCAGGGAAAACTTAAGGGGTTTGATCCATGATCTGTACACAGACTCAAGGAGAGGTGAAGGCAGACAGAATAACTGCTATTAAACTGGATCTTGATGGCTCTTTCCTGCATCATACATAACTTCTTGTAATTTCTAGAGTTTGACCTCAGATTCTTAGCCATAATTTTGTACTCTTTCCATAGAGCCATATAAATAATTCCATTGCACACAGTGGGATGATCCCTGCCCTAGTCCTGCTGGCCACACTATTTCTGACACAAGCCAGGATGCTGGTGGCCCACTTTTTGTGACCCAAGTGCAGGACCTGGCACTTGGCCTTGTTGAATGTCATCCCATTGGCCTTGGCCCATTGATCCAGATCCCTCTGTAGAGCCTCTTTTTCTTTTTGATCTGCTTGAAGGTAGGGAGGCTCTACAATGCTAACAATATCACAGCAAAATACACTTACCAGTATAAATGCTTGGTATTGAGAACAGCTGCACTTTGATCTTGCGACACAGCAGGAAAATAACTACAAATGCCTAACAAAGTTAACATTTTGTAAGAAATGAAATGTTTGCACTTCCCTCTATCCTAACACAGCATTGAAATCTTTTGTGCAGCACACTCACTTCCTGCTTTCTTTGCATTTTCAGAACCAATACCACTCAAGACTGCTTTTAGCATCATCTCAAGAGGTATCTTTCACAGACAAATCTTAAAATTGTCTCTATGCAATCCAGTTTACTTGTAGATCCCCAGGCAAAAACCTGGGCTTCATCCCTTTCTGCTCTTCAGCCGTACCTTTCCTCTCCCAGTGGGGCCTCTGACTCATGACTGGGATTCTTGACTTAAATCATTGCAAGATAAACATCACCAACACAGAGTAACTCAACCTGAGCCTTTGATACAGCTTCTGCAAAGCATAGCTCATTTAACCAGCTTCTTTCATCTAATCAGTATCAGGATTATTTAAAGCACAAATTACTTCCTCTAGTTCCCCTATGTAAGGTGTGGCATCAGAAGCAACTGCAGAGTTTCCCATTTCCTCCATGTCTCACAGAGCTTTTATATTCACTTCACTGAATGTTTTCTTATAGCTTTTAAATTAAGGACAAAGTTTTTTCACTGTTGCTTCTTTCACAAATTTTAAAATACTTGGATAAAAATGTTTCTGACCTATTTTATACCCATTCAGACTTCCAGAAAGTACAAGAAACTCTCCATACGAGAAACATTTTGACAATGCAAAAATGTAGCTTATCCAAATTTGATATTTTTGACAGCATTAGACAAGTTTATTGTTATTATCCCAAATGTTCACTGTATACTGCCATATACATGTGCCTAGATTAAACTGTGTAATACAGACAACAATTGCTATATGCTTCATACTCCAACTCAAAACTTGCTGCAATTCAGTATTAATATTAATAGAAGAGTTAATATAATGTATATATAATGATTGATATTAATAGTTGTATAGGAAGCAGTAACATGAACCATAACCAAAAAATTTTTCTAGCTCATAGCAAAGAAGTACAGCAGCTTGTGGAAGAGCTGAACTCCAATCAGGAAAGAAAATCAGGACAATAAATTTCTGCTACAACATCAGATAAAGTCACTCAATTTCTACACAGACCATTAATTTTTAATTAATGTATTAAGTATAAATTACAGCTTATTTAGCTGTTCCACTTAATTGCAATCAGAATTGGCCTCTCTAGAAAGAAATAAAAAATAATTTATAATTTGTGGAAGTAAGTGATAGGCAAAAATATTAAGAGCATAAATTAGTGGTCTGGTTTTATCTTAACTACAAACAAATACATATGCCAAAAAGCCATACGAGTAACTTTTAAAAATAGAAATGGCTTAAAATGAGCTTTGTGGGAAGAAATGGCCAAATACAAACATCCATCTCATGGACCTCCAGCTACCACTTCACAGAAGGACCAGGCCTCTAGTATCTGCCAGTCCTGTCTAGATGGTTTCAGACAGCCAAAGTTGTCAAAATAGAATTAGATGTTTATCTTTAGACACCTGAACCTCTCTTCTCTAATAACTCTACCACTTCACATGATTAGGAGTGGAGTTAATGAATTGTATCTAAATAAGATTATCGGGATCAAAGTAACGAGTAGGAACTTCATGCTACTCACTTTTGGGAGTCAGAGCACTATAAAACTAATACAATATAACTATGATACAATTAAAACAGTACAAATAACCATCTAAAACTAGAATAATGGGGTTCTCCATGAAACAAGATGCTCTGAATTGGTCACAGCACACTGGGTTAGCTGTGATGTATGAAATACAAATCTAACGAGCACATTCAATGACTTGTTGAACAATACAAAGGTCAGAGTTCTGATCACATTCAGAAGAAGCAGGCAGGATGATTACATTCATTACAAAATTGTATCATTAGCACATACAGTCACTGTTCTGTGAGTTACAAAACTGTTCCACTGAAATACAGTATTTCAGTCCTATACCCGACATGTACGAAAATCAGCCTTCCAGACCCAGAAGCAACATCAGCCATCAGCTTACAGGGCAGAACCTGCTCCAACTTTTTGGTAGTGTTTGGTTTTAAATGCAATATCAAGGTAGAGATGTTTCTTGTTTTCAATATTTTAGGGTTTTATGTTTTCCCTTGCACGTATCAATGGAAAAGGAAGCGGGAGAGAGGAAGCAAAGATTAAGTGACTTGACAGTAATTAAAACAAACACACTTTCAGCAGATGTGGCATTTTTGGTTTTTTAATCACTACAACTTCCTTTAGCAAAAAAAAAAAATCTTTCTTATTCAAGAGACAGAGTAGGGGTCAGAACCCTTCTGTTGTACTAAAGATGAAATGAGGATGAAAAATTAATAGGTCTCCAATTTTATCCCATTTTTTTTCCACCGTAGTTTTAGAAAAAGGGGAACTGAACCAAGACAGGCAAAAGCATAAACTCTCTGTAAGGTAGTAGGCACTAGGTGTATACACATACATATGGTTTCTTTATATAATGTTCTCTTTTTAGGAACTTTGTTTTACGAAGTTTTTTTTAATTAACCAACTAACAATGCTATTGAAGCAGTTATTGGAAAAATACATATTTTTAGCAAGGAAAAATCCACAGCTTTCCTGTACAAAATAAATTGCTTTCCTCAACTTATGGTATTAAACGAAATGTGACTTTCAAAGGTTATATA